GACCCAAAGTCCTGTTAATCATCTTGGCTGCAGCACCTGCAGTGTTAACAGCTGGCAATAGTGAGCTCTGCACCTGCAGGCTCCCCACTTACAAAATCCATTTCACACTCTCTGGAGCAATGTTTGTTAAGACCAAGTTAACAAACTCTTCAAACCCTATAGTTAGCCTGACACCTCAAATGCCTGAGCACCCACTATAAACAATTGGGGTTTAATATCTGACAGTTTTAATAATATTAAGTAATATTGCCTCCTCTAAATTATTTACTGAGGTGAGTAGCTCCAGAGAGGAGCCTTCAACACTGGACCAAAGGGAAATGCAGTGTCCAAGAGACTCAGTTCTGATAGGCCTCAATGCCTGCCTGGGACTGGCCTCCCTTGGGACCTACACTGCAGATAGCCCCTCAGACCTACGCTAGAGCTTGTCATGCAGAACTATATGCATAACATATCATAGCTGTTCCGTTCCATTCCATTCCATTCCATTCCATTCCATTCCATTCCATTCCATTCCATTCCATTCCATTCCATTCCATTCCTCTTCTGCTCCACTCCACTCCAGTCCAGTCCAGTCCGATCCAGTCTAGTCCAGCCCCTGCACTCACAATGAATTAGATAACAATGAGACCGTTATTTACCTGAAATGCCAAGGGGTTTTCAGCACCAAAACCACTTTCAAAGACACAAATCAGAAAGGTTACAGGTGGAAAGAGTATTTTATTTATTTATAAATAAAGTTATTTTAGTTTAGCTTAGTTTAGTTAATTTTAGTTTCGGTTATATTTTCTTTTTCTAAATCTTTCAGAGTGGTGCCGTGGTAGTGCAAGAGCAGTGCAAGAACCCAGCCAGAACGGGCCGGGGAAGACCTGACAAGGGGGGGTGCTGAATGCTACAGAGGACAGCAGCGAGTCCCGGGGCCACGCTGGGAGTGCAGAAGGCTGCCTCCTCCCCCCGGATGCGGGGCACGAGGGCCAGCTGCGTGGAGCACGAGCCGCTGCCTTTGCGCTACAACAGCCCAAAGGAGCCCCATGAAGGGGCTGTGCTCGGCTGCGGAGGAGGCAAAAAAACCCCGGGGACACTTTGCTGGTCCACCCTGGGGAGAAAAAAGCCCTTTCCCCCCCCCAGCTGCAGGACACGAGGGCCACCGTCGTGGAGCATGAGCACCAGGCGATAACACAGAGCACCAGGACCAGAGGGGCCCTGACATGGGGTCGTGCTCAGTGCTCAGAGGGAGGCAAAAAACCCTCGGGGACCAGTGCCAATCTGCCCCGGGGGAAAATTCCTTCTGACCCCAGAGCTGGCGATCGGCTACTCCCTGAGCATGTGAGCAAGACCGGCTCCTGGTCCACGGGCTGGTTATGCCTCTAAGGGGACACTGGCACTGCCTTTCTGCCTGCACCTGGAGGCATCTCAGGGGCTTCCAACAACAGCAAAATGCCGCTGGCTTGATCAACCCTAGGGACAAGAACCCTCCCTGTGCCTGGCGGTGGGAGCTCCAAAGCACGGGGAGGAGGGCACCGGGCCATAAGTGGATCCTGTTTCTTATGGCTACTGCCACTATCTCCCCAAAAGATGAGAACGGCGATCTCCCCGAAGACTGAAGCAGGATTTCCATCCATCCGATAAGCTGTGAGTGTGCCCCCTCCAGGAACCGGAATTGCAGCAGAGAACCCCCAGCAGCTTCGGGCAGTCTTCCTTTCTCTGCCCCTCCAAGTAATTCCACCGGTGCCTCAAGGAATTCCTCGGGTGCCTTCAGGCTGCCAGCTCTGTCCTGGTGGCAAAGCCGGGCACTCTGGCAGTGGGACACGGGAGGACGCTGCCTTATACTGCCCCAGAGCATTGTGATGCTGTGTTGGCGGGTGCTGGCACTATGACACGGGGGTGATGGGGGCCCCACAGCCCTGCCCACCTCAGCCCTGCTGCTGCTGCCCCTTTGTCCTCCATCCCTTGGAGAAAGGCCTTTGGGATGCTGGCCCTGAGGCAGTGCCTGTGCCCAGGAGGCCCAGGGGGATCTCCCTGCCCATGGCAGCCACAGACTGGGCACCGCTGCGGGGTCTCCCTGTAAATTAATCTGTATGTTCATACTGTATCAGTAAGGGCTTTTATACCACGTACAGTCATTTGACTGTGGCAAAACCAGAGGTGAAAGAAAGGGGGTTTGGTTCCCTCTACATGAACTTTGCAGAAATGTAGAGAGTGTACAGGATTTCCTCACCATTCCTTACCAATACAGCAAGTGGCATTTGCTGCTGCGCTGCTTATGGTGAGGTTTTCTTCTTGGAAAGGCGACTTTCAGAAATCTCTTCTGCGTTTGTTTCACAGGGTGTTTAGATATTTGCTTGTGTTTATTAACATTCACGTGTCTAGTCTGGGGGGTTACCTCTTGTATTACTACTTGAATGCAACCCTTCACTGACTGCTGCTTAATTCCATGCTCCTGGTAGCTCAGTATTTGATCCCAATTCAGTTTAAACCGTGTGGACTGCGCAGGAACTGTGAGAATGAAGATCTTAGGCCCACTGTAGGAAGAATCAGGTTTGATGTCTTCCTAAGAACCTGAATGTGCAAAAGTCCATGGGACCTGATGAAATCCATCCGTGGGTCCTGAAGGAGCTGGTGAATGAAGTTGCTAAGCCACTGGCCATCATACTTAAAAATAATGGCAATCAGGTGAAGCTCCCGATGACTGGAAAAAGGGAAATATAACCCCCATTTTCAAGAAGGGGAAAATGGATGACCCGGGGAATTACAGACCAGTCAGTCTCACCTCTGTGCCTGGCAAAATCTTGGAGCAGATTCTCCTGGAAGGCATGCTAAGGCACATGAAAAACAACAAGGTGGTTGGTGACAGCCAGCATGGCTTCACTAAGGGGAAATCCTGCCTGACCAACTTGGTGGCCTTCTATGATGGGGCTACGGAACTGATGGACAGGGGTAGAGCAGTTGATGTCATCTACCTGGAGTTGTGCAAAGCCTTCGACACTGTCCCACACAACATCCTTCTCTCTAAATTGGAGAGATATCAGTTTAATAGGTGGACCGCTCAGTGGATAAAGAACTGGCTGGATGGCCACATGCAGAGTTGTGGTCAATGGCTCAATGTCCAGTTGGAGACCAGTAATGAGTGGTGTCCCTCAGAGTCTGATGCTGGGACCGGTCTTGTTTAACATCTTTGTTGCCGACATGAACAGTGGGATTGAGTGCGCCCCCAGCAAGTTTGCCGATGACACCAAGCTGTGTGGTTCGGTTGATACGCTGGAGGGAAGGAATGCCATCCAGAGGGACCTTGGCACGCTTGTGAGGTGGGCTAATGCCAGCCTTATGAACTTTAACCAAGCCAAGTGCAAGGTCCTACCCCTGGGTTGGAGCAATCCCAGGCACAGCTACAGGTTGGGCAGAGAAGAGATTCAGAGCAGCCCTGTGGAGAAGGACTTGGGGGTGTTGGTTGATGAGAAAATGAACATGAGCCGGCTTCAGTGTGCGCTTGCAGCCCAGAAAGCCAACCGTATCCTGGGCTGCAACAAAAGGAGCATGACCAGTAGGTCGAAGGAGGTGATCCTGCCCCTCTACTCTGCTCTTGTGAGACCTCACCTGGAGTATTGTGCGCAGTTCTGGTGTCCTCCATATAAGAAGGACATGGAACTGTTGGAACAAGTCCAGAGGAGGGCCACGAGGATGATCTGGGGGCTGGAGCACCTCCCATATGAAGACAGGCTGGGAAGGTGGGGCTGTTCAGCCTGGAGAAGAGAAGGCTGCGTGGAGACCTCATAGCAGCCTTCCAGTATCTGAAGGGGGCCTATAGGGATGCTGGAGAGGGACTCTTCATTAGGGACTGTAGTGATAGGACAGGGGGTAATGGGTTAAAACTTAAACAGGGGAAATTAGGTTAGATAAAAGGAGGAAGTTCTTTTCTGTGAGGGTGGTGAGGCACTGGAATGGGTTGCCCAAGGAAGTTGTGGATGCTCCATCCCTGGGGATGTTCAAGGCCAGCCTTGGGTGAGATGGTTTAGTGTGAGGTATCCCTGCCCATGGCAGGTGTTTGGAACTAGATGATCTTATGGTTCTTTCTAACCCTAACTACTCCATGATTACATATAGGTGAAATGCCGCTTTTTGAAAATAAGCAGCTGGTTATCTCACTCACTGTTTTGTCACAACATCATACTTTCCCTGACACATCAGGGAGACATGAGGACAGTGTAAGGGCACATGAAATCACAGTGACTTCAGTTTTCCTGATGATTTGAGTCTGGTGCTTATTTGCTATGTGATCTCACCTTCAGAAGTGTGCTGCTGCAATAACAACACTTGATCAGGCTCAGAGGAGCAGAGCTGGGACCGATGCTTGCGATTTGCCCTCAGTGCAGTCAGATTTTCACTTGGTACTGGGCAGCAGCCTCTTAAAATTCATTTCTAGTTGCAGCATCTTAAATTCAAATCTCCACAAGTCACTGGTGACATTAAAAAAATCTTGTCCTTTTTGCAAAACAACCTTGTTTTTTAATGTCTATTTACATGATGAAGTAATTTCTATTCTCCTTGTGAATCTTAAATCCAGATACAATGTTTAAGACAGCAAAAACATTAGAACAAAATGGTTTCCTTTCTTTGTTCAAGGGCTGCTTGTGGTTTTGAAGACAACAAACACCAAATTATTTTGCTGTGCTCCAAATACATAAACGAACAAAACCCACCCAGACATGGTGGTGTTTCCCCATCTTCGGCAGGACCGATGATAGTATCTTCTTTTCACAAGGTCAGTTTTCACAACTGTCACCGATGAGATGGAGTTTTGTGGCAGAACCCTCTGCCCACTGCAAAACAAGTACCCACAGGACTTCTCCTAGCCTGACATGGATCTTTGGTGGGTACAGGTACCCCATCCTGGTGGTGAGGCACTGGCTTAGGATCCCCCAGCCTCACCCCACTCCAGCTGCAGCCATGGGAGGAAATGGCCATGAAGTGGAGGAAGCAGAAGTACCTCTCTGTGCTGCTCCTCCCCTCCACTGCAGAGCCCCACAGCTCTCCTGGGCGCAGCATGCACCAGGCTGAAAGTGTTGCTGCCTTGAAAGCTCTTCACTGGTTTTTACATGCCAAATCCACATGCTGCCTTGCTGCGGACCATGGCATCTACTCTGGAGAAGTTCATTCATTCTGTGGACCCCAGAACTCTTCCCAGAGTCCTCCAAATCCAGTCAGGCATCTATTTCCAAGGTGAGCATTGGGTGATTTCTGACAGAGCTTTGCAAGTCTGACATCCGGTCCCCCTTGGGATCTGGATGTAGGGGAGGCAGAGGGAGGATTTTGACAGAGTTGTCTCCCAGCAGTTTCCCACCAGGTGCAATTTCCCCTTTGAAGAACCAGCATAAGAATTAATAGCTTCGGAAATGTCTTTGATAGTGTGTGCATCTGGTCTTCTCACAGGCAGTGGAGAAGGAGCTGTAGATAGTCTTCATTGTATGCTGGAATGAGTCACGAATTTGCTTTGCACTCACACAGAACCATCAATCCAGCAATTGCAGATCACCTCACAAAGGTTAATTGAGTAAACCTAGCTCTACTGTTCTGGGGTTGGCATGAGGAGGTGCTCTCTGTCACATGAACAGAGAGACAGGGAGTTTGGAAAGTGACTGGGAGGGACTATATGGTTTTCCTGAATTTCTGCCCTACATTAGGGGGTACTTCAGGTGGTGCAACAATGCAGAAGAATGGGTATGAGCCAGAAAGGAGTACCACAGAAGCTGTGTTTTGCTGGGTTTTCCTGATGCAAATCTTTTCTTGTATTTATTGCTGGGCTCTGCTTGTGCACAAAACACAGTAGAAGGATGGTAAAGAGGCTTGCACAAGAGGGAAATGCTAGGCACTTAGTCAGGGCATACATGTTGTTTAATGACAGCAAAAACACCATGTCAAGCTCATGCATTAGTCTAGGAAAAGAAAGTTACCCCCCTGTCACTGCAAGGGTAAACTTGGGGTAACACTAAATAAAACAGAGGGGGCTTCATGAAATGAGCTGAAGACTTCAGCTTCAGCAGAATACCTACTCCAGGATTCACAATATCTATCTTTACATTAATCTAAAAATCCCCATTCTGTGCCATAGTAAGAGGAGAGAGGAGGCAGCCAATGTTAGCCACTTTCCACACACCTAGGAAATAGTAGTAATATAAATACAAGTTGCATATATATGTGTATGTATACATATATGTGTGTGTCTGTACACATGTACACAAAATACTGTGAGAGGTACATGTATATACAAAATCCTATGATAAAATTATGGTAGCCCAGCTGTCATCAGGTTTCTGAGTTCCTATAGTCTGCATCCTGCTGTTGGTGGATGGTAAAGCTCATGCCAGTACATCTTTGGAGCCAGGGTATTTCAGCTTGTCCTTCCATTTATCATGTAAATCCTTCCTCATGAGGAGAAAAAAAACAGTGGAGGCATATCACACACGCCATTTTGCATCAGTATCCCCACATGTGAGAAAAAGTGGCTATTAGCTGATGACTGCATATAATAAAAGAGTGTGCACAACCTTGGGAGGGAGTGGTCTGTGCTCGAGAGAGTCAGGCATGTTTGCACTAAATCCAAGAGCCCTTGTGCTGCTCTGATGCTTCTTCAGTATTCAGCAGCACCATTTCTTCCTGTTCTCTGCTCCTAATGGCTTCCTCTCAGCTATACTCATATATGTTTCCACCAGCAGGCTAGATGCAGCACTAACATACATGCAGGTGTTTCTTGCTTATACAATAAGGTAGGCTAATACAGTCAGTCTATTTGACTTCTTCCTCCCACAGCTGGCACATCCCCAGAATACCTAGAAACACAGATCTCAGCTAGCAGCTTTTCTTGGTTCCTCTATCATCATTTTCCCTGCTTCAGAGGCTTCAGAGGAAGCTTGAGACAGTTGAGGCACCATGATGTACCTGATAGGTTTGTAGGATCTAGGGCTACAAAAGGTATTCTCAGACCAAACTCTCCCTTCCTCTTCTTCCTTCCCTCACTCCATCCCTTTGTCCCTCACTCCCTCCCTCCCTAAGCACTCTATCCATGTTGGCTTCCTTCTGAACATTTTGCTCCCCTCCATGCCTGACAGCAGGGGTGAACACGCTGTTCTGTGATTGCATTCTGATTTATGTTGCATTTTCTAAAGTGGGAGTAGTGCTTCAGAGAGAGTCTGAAGTAAATCCTGTTATATTGCTAAACAGGAGAGTGAACCACTTTATGCACTTCGAATTTCTATTAGGATGTCCTTCCTCAGGGAGATACCCACACCCCTCCAATAATCTTTTTGATTTCTCCTATCACATGCAGTACACCAGCAATCTCACTGTGGGTAATGGCAGGTCTGTCGACAACAAATATGGGTTTATTGCTACCGTTGCAGGGGCCAAATCAGAGCCTTTGTGCACTGATTGTAGTAGCCCCCAAATGTCTACAGAGTCAGCCTGGTTAGCTGAGTCCTACTTGGATTAGTGTTTTTATGGAGTTGGATTTCATAGGAATCTTTAACCATTCTCAACAGAACATGCAGATAGTAAGGGAGAAGATTTATTTTTAAAGCATTACATGGGATTGTTTGAAACTGGTCAGTCGCAAGAGATGATTAATCTTCTGGTGTAAAAATTTAAAATAGCAAGGATTTATATGTGTATATGTACATGCTATGTATGTTCCCCTCTCAGCAACACCAGAAAAAGGTGCAACATTTCTTAGTGTCAGCTTAACCTGGAACATCGAATAGCTAATGGAGTAAATAATGATCTACTAAATCCATTAGAGCTGTCACATCAAAGCTGTAGCAGCCAAGCAAAGGCAGCTGTAGTAATTTAGTTAGTAAGAAGACAACAAACTGTAATTCATTCACTGGTCTTCTGTGGTGAATGTTGTGCTGTGGGAATGAAACTCTTCATCCACTCTATTTGGAAACAACATTTTGCACACACTCCACTTAGGCCTAAATGATTTTACAAATATGAGACTTGCTGTCCTGGGTTCAGCAGTAGCAGTCATTTTTCTCCTCCTTGGTAGCTGGTGCAGTGCAGTGTTTTGACTTTCAGCTTGGGAACAGAGCTGATAGTGATGTTTAGGTTTGGCCAAGGACTTTGTGAGCCTCATGCTCTGCCAGGGAGGAGGGGAAGCCGGGAGGAAGCAGAGACAGGACACCTGACCCAAACTGACCAAAGAAGTATTCCATACCACAGCACGTCATGCCCAGGATGCAACTGGGAGTTAGCCGGAAGGGCTGGGAGACTGCAGGGTTGGAGGAGGTATCGGAAAGAGCTTGGTCGGGCTGGGGGGGGCGAGTTATCGGTCGGCTGGTGGTGAGATGATGTATTCTCTTTCCTTGTTATTTCCTTTATCATTATTATCATTGGTGGTAGCAGTAGTGATTTGTGTTATACCTTAGTTACTAAACTGTTCTTATCTCAACCCGTGGGAGTTGCATTCTTTTCGATTCTCCTCTCCGTCCCTCCGAGAGCAGGGGGAGGGCAAGAAAAAGGAAGTGAGCGAACGAATTACCTGACTGGGTTTAAACCACGACAGTTCTTTGGGGCACGAAGGGTTGAGATAAGACAGATTTGACTGGATTAATAGTCATCGTCACAATGCTGATTTATTGGCTCTCAGAGTTGTTCTTGTTGATCTCACAGCTTCAGAATGTTGTAACTTACGTAGAGCCGGTATTTGCTGTGTTAGTGTTTATCAAGTGTGGGGCCTGGGCTAAGGTTCTTGTCTCACTGTGCTTTATGGCAATGGCTTGTAATACGGACGGGCTCCAGCAGCAGGGCGGGACGGACGTGGCCGTGGACTTGTACCTGGCCGTCCGGCTGCTCTTCACCGTCCTGGCCCTCACCCTACTCTCCATCTTCGTGAGGCTGCGGGGAGCCGAGGGGGAGCGGCCCGGGGACGGCTGCCGGTGGAGGAGGTCGGGGCGGTTGAAGGGGCTGCCGAGCAGCGGGAGAAGGCGGCGGAGGAGCCGAGCCCCGCGGAGGAGCCCAGCCCCGCGGCCGAGCCCAGCCCCGCGGCCGAGCCCAGCCCCGCGGCGGCCGAGAGCGTTTCCCAGCAGCCGCCCGCCGAGCCCCAGGAGGATGCAGGAGACCACGCAGCATTTCCCAGCAAGGCAGAGGAGGAAGAGCTGGACTGGGAGAGCCGGCAAGCACAGCAGCTACACCAGCCCCAGTGACAAGCACAGCAGCTACACCAGCCCCAGTGACAAGCACAGCAGCTGCACCAGCCCCAGTGACAAGTACAGCAGCATCAGTTAGAGTTCTGGAGGTTTTGAATGGCCTTTGAGTATCCTTGGGACCTTGATTGTGATGGGGATCAGCATGTTGGCACACACACAGACTGTGTTCTACCCACCACCATTTTGTCTGATCTCAAAAGTTAAGCAGAGTCAGGTTTGGGTCTTGTCTGGGGTTAGACGAGGATATGGGGGGACCAAGAGATTTTTCCAAAGCTGGACAGTCATGAGTGGCCAGTATGGGCAAGTATCTAGTCCACTGGGCCCCTCCAGTGCTTTGGAAGCATTGGAGATGGAAGGCAGCTGTATTCCCCAGCAACAAGCTGCAGAAACTGCTGAAGGGGACAGTGAATTATTTTAAGCCTGGTGGGCCCATGGCACTTCAGGCCATCAGAGCAGAGATGCAACACAGAGATGGACTCATGATCGAGGGGTGGACTTAGCACATTGCCCATTCACGAGTGTGAACACTGCACACAGTCTCTCCTGCTCTGGAAGACTGTTACAAGAGATGGAGCCCATCATGGACCAGATGGACTCAGCAGCTTTATAGGGACTGGTCCATGCACTGAGATAAGAGTGATGGTATATTGAAAATGTGGGATCTGAGCATGACGTGGTATGGAATGGGATGGAATAAGGAGTGGATACTCCTGGGTTCAGCAGTAGCAGTCATTTTTCTCCTTGGTAGCTGGTGCAGCGCAGTGTTTTGACTTTCAGCTTGGGAACAGAGCTGATAGTGATGTTTAGGTTTGGCCAAGGACTTTGTGAGCCTCATGCTCTGCCAGGGAGGAGGGGAAGCCGGGAGGAAGCAGAGACAGGACACCTGACCCAAACTTATTCCATACCACAGCACGTCATGCCCAGGATGCAACTGGGAGTTAGCCGGAAGGGCTGGGAGACTGCAGGGTTGGAGGAGGTATCGGAAAGAGCTTGGTCGGGCTGGGGGGGGCTATCGGTCGG